GATCATTTTGGTACCGCAAAAGACCTCGAAACGTTATTAATTGTTGAGTTGACTCCCAGTTCTTCCGCCATCCCACACATCGTTTGTGATGGCTCAGTCTCCACCAAAGTCCTCAAATCGTCGTCCTGGATTACTGTGGATCGGCCACTTCGGGCCTCATTTTCGAGGCTTAAATTTCTTATGAACGAAATTTCGCAAACCAACGTAAAACAGTGCGTTCATTAACAGTATCATTGCCAAATGCCTGGTTGATTTTTCGGGCTGTTTCGGTCGCGCTTTCGATCTATTTGAATTCGTAGAGAAAAATTGGCCAAAAATCGTTCAACATCATAACCTGAAAAGAAGCAAAAAATTCAAATATGGAAAAAATAAATAGCATCAATAGATAGAGTACAAAATTCTCTATCGATAAGTGTACAGGGCGTCTTTTATCATGTGGTAACATTGCTATATTCTAAACCGTAACAGATACGAAGACTATTAAATGGGAAAAAAGGTAACTGTCGTCGAAAGCAATAAAATGGTCGACTAAAATTAACGAGGACTCTCGCCCTTATCGAGTCATACAGGGAAAATCAAAAATGTTATTTTTCGTTTTTTTCGAATGCAATTGTTATTTAGGAGAATATCAAAAAATGGAAAAGGAAAATATTATTGTAGTCGAAGTGTACTATGACGATGTAATAATAAATATTCGATAAAACATGTTACCGTAGCAGACTAAGCAATAATTTAGACTTGAGTGAACATAGGCATAGTAGTAGCTTAATAAAATATTTATGGGGACAGAATTTCTGAGATTCCAAATAACGAAACACTGCTTGGATAATTTTATAGAAATAGAGTCAATATGATCATTCCAGGATAATTGGGAGTCAATGTTCAACCCTAAGAATTTGACTGATTTTTCCTGCACAATAGATTTAGTATTAACTCTAACCAATATACTGAAGTCCATTTCTCTAAGCAAGAAAACAGTGGTATTAGATGATTTATTGCTATTTAGTACGAGACCGTTTCTGGCGCAGTAAATAAGCATATCAGCAACTGCAATATCAGCCTGGTCAGATAACCCTTCACAAGAAGAAGAACTCAATAGGAAGGACGTATCATCAGCAAACTGTACAGTACAATGTTGTTGATTGATATTGGAGATGTCGTTGACGGATAAGAGAAAGAGAGTAGGACCCATGACACTACCTTGAGGAACACCTGTTAATATGTCACGATTTTCAGAATGATATATTCCAGATTTGAGCCTAACCTTAACAGATTGTGATCTGTCAGTCAGATAAGTCTTAATCAATTTTAGACTTTGTCCGTGAATTTCAGTATCATAAAGCTTATCGAGGAGAAGTTGATGGTTGATGGTATCACGTGACAAATCAAATAGAATACTGATCGATTTTTCGCTATTTTCGAATTTGGATAAAACATGATTGACCAGTGAAAGAGTAGCATATTGGGTGGATAAACCAGATTGGAGTCCATATTGGCTCTTAGCGAATAGGTTATACTTTTTACAGAAGGATACAAGTCTGTTGAGATAGGATTTATCGAAAATTTTTGAAAATGAAGACAGCAATGCAATACCTCTGTAGTTTTATTACAGATATTGATAAAGCAATAAATTCACAATCCAAGGATGTATCACTTTTATATTTTTATAGCGTTTCATTTGAAATAACTACCATCATCAGTGACAACACTTTTGAGTTGTGGTCCTGTCGTTACTTCTTTTGTAAATTGTTTGGATTTCCTCAAAATATAATTCAGACAATTCAAAAAATTCGACAGGTAGTTACCCTAACACAATGAAAATTCGTACTTTTTCGTTTTGGAATTTTTTTATGGCCGTAATCCTTCTTTCGAGGCTTATTTCTCCCTAATCAATTAAAATTCTTATTATTTTTATAACTCTCAGTCCTGGAAGTCATGAAAATATCAGTTTTTGGTCGAAATTCGGTTGTTGTATAATTTGGTATGATCAAATAGCATCTCAATTCATTTACCATCTTACAGGCGTAGGCTTTGCTTGGTTTCTGTAACAGGAAAAATGAATGCGTTGTTGATATCTGTTGAGAACTGTCAGATGTTCATGAACATATCAAAGCTGTATTCAAATCATGAAAGGGCGGATATGCTACTTAGTTATGCAAAATCAAATAGAAATCCTCTTTTGGCAAGGAATATGTATGTTGAGCTATACCCGAATCGTCGTATTGCGAACATCCAAATGTTTAAACGATTAGAAAGAAATTTGAGGGACTATGGTGCATTTGACAGAAAGAAAACAAGAAAATGTATGGTTACTGGAAGTGTGAGGAATCAAATAAATGTTATGGGTAAGCAAATATTACCACATAAAAATTTATTCAGTAAAAACGTCTTTTTTTTAATTTAGGATTGGCCGGTTACAAAAATTATGCTAATCAAAATTGTTCTTTACGAGAAATTGCCCACGATTTGATATGCATACTGGTGGTTATTCAGGAGGATTGCATATAAAGCCATCTTCCTATTGTGTCCGTCCAGTATTCCCTCAAGTTTTTCCAACAGGAAGGAGTAAGGCTTATTGGTCGTACCGATCTAGGGTGTAGATATATTTCCACGCCAGACTAGCTCTATATAATTTTATGAGAATGGGTAAAATTATTTCCAGTTCATCCTCAGGTCGTTTGAGCGACCCAATTTCGGTAATCGGATCTCTGTAAAAAATCTTGTGAATCTCGCACGTCAGCTACACCTGACGATGCCTAAGATTCAACCATGCATTTTCGAGGCATTTTCGCCTCTGGTTTCGGTGAATCATCATTCGAGCGCAAACATTTGCTAACCTGCTAACATTTGAGACTGATACGTGACAATAAGTTTTTAGAGGCTTTTAAAAGTGAAGTTGAAGATTAGAATCAGAGGTGCTAGTAAAAAGCAATAGAACAGAACAATAGGAAATTGTCCTATGTTTCGGGATTATTGGCCGTGGTCCGCAGGTTTTTATACATGACTTTCAGTCTGCTACTGCGCAGATACTATCAAAGGCGATGTGACAACGGTCGAAGTTATCTACCTTGCTCCGATACGCAAACTAAAAACGGCCCTGGTGCGTTTGTACTTGAGTGTCGGACGACCGACTGCTTCTGCACCTGATTGGCCCGACTCTTCTTCAATTATTGGGTGTTCTGACGTGCCGGTCTTGTTGAAGTTCAAGCTCTTTTCCTCACGGTTGAAATTATCCTTATGTTACGCGCGTGCGGGGAATAGGAATTAGCCAATTTTCTGGAACATTTGAATTCTTGCACGGTGACATTGTAGCGAACGGCCAATGGAAAAAGTTTCCTGCACCACATAAGTGGTGTGAAGGAACGAATTGAAAGGATCTTCGAAAAACATAGAGTTAGGGTCATTTTCAAGCCCACAAAATCGATAGAGAATAGCCGCTATGGCCTAACAGATAAATCGGCAGTTGACGAACACGCAGAACACGAGGGCAGACATGACATCACTTTCGAACGCACAAAAGTTCTTAATGGAACCAGAAGTTACTGTGCGAGGGTATTCAGAACGACCATAGAAAAACATAAACAACCATGAGGAAGAGAGCTTGATTATCAACAAGACATGAGTATCGTCCCTTCATAACACAAAGATTCTCCCAAAAATTGAAGAAGGGTCGAACCAATTAGGTTCAATAGCAGTCGAACGTCCGACACCTAGTCCCATTATAAGAACAAAAGCACCAGGACCATTTTCAGCCCGACAAAACACATCCGATCATAGGTCGCAGAAGCAACATGGGCACCCCGTAAAACTGTTGCTGACCAAGACCGTACTATTTCCAATCATCCTGTATGCCTGCACTGCCAGAAGCCAGTGCGTAGCAACAAACAGACGCAGTATCCAGACGTTCATGAACGATTGCGTGCGAGCCGCCGTAAATGCTCCAAGATACATACCAAATAGATACATATACCTGGACCTGGACTTAAACATCAACTAGGTAGACGCGTATATGAGAAAACACGCAGAAAACGTGTTCGAAAGAGTTTGATCACACAACAGTCCAGTGCTGCGCGATCTACATGAGGCACTCAACAGGGAAAGCCCAAGATTCCGATAGAGAGACAAACACAAGAGGCCAACCAAGCAGAATCAGAGACCACCCCCGAAAGTCACTATCAGGCGGCTACGGTAAGTATAATAACTTTTTAATCAGATTTCAAACTCACTTCTTTTGCAGATTCAGTGAGAAAAACTTGTTTGCGATTCAAAGACACTCGTCTCCGGTTAGTTTTTGGGGGCCCCATGCAATAATTACATTCAAGTAAAGTCACGACTCAATGAAATATTAGATTAGAAAGTAAAATCACCTAAAGGCTGGCTTTCGACCGCACTAGGTCAGATGTCAATCTTGCTGAAGTGCCCATCAGTATGTTGAGGACCGCTCCGGAGGAGCGGGGGTGGATGGACAAGATGGGATGTTACTGGGTTACTGCACACAGTAACCGTGTAGGGAAGGTTCTATTTCAGGGCACTAAACCCGGGAGGGGGCCTGGTCGGGACCATTTTCAGTTTGCACATCGCAGCAAGTTGAGTTACTCAGGCCGTTGCCACACATCTTCTGATGATGTCTTGCCGCAGTAGCAAACGAAACGTCAGATATAAAAAAATGCAGACTATGGCTCATAAACCCGGGAACATCGGACAATTCGTTAGAGACCAGCCGTGAAAGCCTACACACCATAAAAATGCTAGGAATTTATCAATTAACTCTCACAATGCAAGGTAATGATTCGTGTAGATGCATATAAAAACATAAACATGGCTTGTAAGGAGTAGTTTCACTCATCTTAGGTGAAGAATACGTATCAGTCAGGTAGTAAATACCAATAGGACCATAACAAACTACTAGGAATAAATTAATTGACCCGCATCATGCAAGGTGATGATTGCATATAAAAAATTAATATCGTTTGTGAGAATAGTCAAATGGCAATCAACATCTTTATCAACACTAATCCAGTTGAGCAGTAACAGATCAGATCATTTTATATTTCATATTAACACGGTGTAGTGTTGAAATGGAGATCAATTTTAAAGGAAAACGTGCAATTGTTACTGGTGCCAGCCAAGGTAAGTCACAATATTGTCTACTATCATCTCAGAACTATTTTGAATTCAAATACCACGACCTATCTGAAACATCTTGCGATCAGGCGAACGTAAAATGGAAACAGTCTCGGGAAATTTCACTTATACGTCGCCCTCTAGGTAAAACGTGCCGAGTGTGGATCGAGGTAGGAACAGAGGCGAACTGGCCCAATATCGAATAATAGTAGTGATTCCTTCGTTGTAATTACCTGATTCGTACTTGAACAACTGGATCATATCAATTCGATAAACAAAAAGAAACCCAGGTCGATGAACAAATTTGCAAAAGATTTGTACATTCACTTTACCATTATATATGAACTGAAACAGAATAAGTTAAATTGGAGTGAGTTTACCCAGCAAACACGTTATATCGCTTGGAGGTTCTGCAGGTTCGCATATTACACTAATGACATTATATTTCAGGTAAATATTCCAGTGGCCATAACGCGATTGCCATTGATCATTATATTTTTGTAATTAAAATCATTGTCACGAAATAACGTCGCACACAGCTTTTCCTGAAAACTTCGTAATTTATATAGAACTAAATGTGAATAGTAATTCGAAAGAACAATTCATTTCAATTAAGCAATTGAATGATGACTTGTTATCATGCACACTGAACCCCGCCTCTACATACAACAATTAAAATGTACCTGATGAATTTGCTTGAAATGTATTTGAAGATTATAAACTCTTTACAAAGATGTGTAAATCATACAAAGAAGTAACTTTCAGGCACAAACAGACACAAAAAAAAACTCTCTCGAAACGAATACTTTCATATAAACATTGAATTTTACGAATGAAAGCATACTTTCGAAAACAACCATTTTTATATGAACATTGAATTATACAAAAACACATTTTCCATTTCAGTTTGTAATTCAAACATTTTTCAAAAATGGTATATTTTTAGGAGAGATACCTATTTGCATTTCTACTTCTCCACCTTTATACAAAAAATTTGGATATCTTGCAAAGAAAGGTAGGAAGCAATCAATTTCAAAAATTAACTCATTTATTTTTTTAGGAATTGGCAGAGCAATTGTGGTTCAATTAGTAAAATGCCAAGCTGAAGTTATAGCTGTTGCCAGAAACAATGATTTGTTGAGTAAGTATATTATATGGTATATGGCATAGTGCTGTGGGGGGATTCTTGTCATTCCAAAAACATTTTTATATTGCAAGAAAGATCATTGTCGCCCACTTTTTATTCATCTCAAAATAATGCCGCTTCCTATAGCTTTTGTATATGAAACATTGATTGAAATTCATAAAAATAAATCAAAATACGTTTTACAATCGCAACAACATGAATATCCTACAATATCAGGAAATCTGATAAGAACTGAGAGATTCAGACTGAGCACCTCACAAAATAATTCATTGAATTTGAGATTTTATAATAAGTTACCATGTCACATAAAACAACTCAGTTTCTACTGTTTCAAGCAAAAACTGAAATCATTTTTTTGAATCACTGTTTTTATTCTACAGATGAATACATNCACTTGATGTTATGTTGGTGAGTCCAAATATGTTCTGCTATTACGGATTTGATGGTTTCTCCTAGTTTAATTTGTTGCTTGTATCTTATTTCTTTGTAATTCAAGTCTTTTGTTTCAATAAAATTGTTATTTTCGGTTAATCTTTTTATTTTTTTCAGGGATTTCAAATCAATTTATATTATATCAGAAAATGGAAGTCCGAACTGATGAAATACACCACGAAACATTGTCAATCACCTTCAAACAAACATTTTATTTTTTATTTATTCAACATCCTCTCTTTTCCTGAACTTGAAATTCAGTTACATAATATTGGCGGTTTCGGGCTGTTTGGCCACTCGTCAGTGCAGGGTAATGTCTATGATTTCCGATAATTGAAAATCGAATTCCTAGGCTGAAGCGAACGGCAAACAACAAGTTTTTCATAACCCCATCTGTCTGTGAACGAGGTAACCAACCGCATATCCGACATTTGCCCAATTCCTCGCATAAGGAAGAAAATCATCTAAAAGAACAATTCGTTCAGGCCAGTCTCAAATTACCTACACTTTCCATTCCACACACTGTTCGCAAGGCCGTAGCCAAGGGGGATCAAGGGGGATTGATCCCCCCGAAAGTTCTACAAGCAACGGCCAGCCAAAAATTATATCAAATACAACGATTCGCTTGTTTGAACATCACAGGAGCCATGAGAACAACACCAACCGCGGCAATTGAATTAATGATTGGTCTGTCCCCTCTGGACCTGTACGTTGAGGAGGTTGCGTTAATGACCATGTTACGACTGCGCACAGCTGGTGTAAACCTCGAAGTAGGAATGGGTCATTTGAGGCTGAGCCTATGGCGAGAAGCGCTCACTGCGCAACACAGGTTTGTGTTTAATAAACCCTACAAAATACAAGTGTAACAGAACACAGAGTCAGATGCTACAAATGCAATACGCATATATACAGACGGCGAAAAAACCAAAGAAGGCTCAGGATGTGAAGTGTACTCCAGATCATTAAGCCTGAGGATTAAGTGGGGAATGGGAAAAAATACCATCGTGGTATTCTGCACTGATAGCAAACAAGCCCTATTGGCCTTGAAAATTCAGCCAAAGCCTGGGTACCATTATCCTGAGGTGGATTAAAGGGCACGACAGGAGTAAAAGTAATCGCATTGCCGACTCTTCAGCCAAGGAAGCGGGACTAGACAAACGTTACACCCATGCTCAATCCCTGGAAAGATGGCGCCGAAGAAATATCTGGCGATGACTAGAAAAAATCTACGCTTTACAGTAGGATTTCTGACTGGCCACTGTCAGCTAAGAAAACACCTCCATAATATGGGGCCAGTGGACATACCTCTATGCAGGATGTGTGAACAGGAAGATGAAATTTTCAGGCATGTGCTATGGGAGTGTCCGGAGATATCGTCAATAAGAGAGTGTTTATTCGGCGACTCTTGGCGTGCACCTGCCGATATAAAGGAGATGTCTCCTAGTGACCTAGCCACCTTCCTGGAAAAAAACAGGATGGACGATGGCCTAGGAGGACAACTCTTCGGGAGGATGTACAATGGGTCTCATGTGGCCTAAGTGCTGTGGGCCTACACTCACCCTCCCTACTCTACAGATACAAGTACTATTGGAATCATAAATTCCGTTAGAAATTTCATCAAGTCCTTGGCAAAACGTACCAGGTGCTTGAAAGAGAATATTGAAGATCTTGGCGACACCACCTGCTTCCACATGTACCCCTGAAAGGACGTTCTCTTCTCTGAAACACCTCAAAACTTGTTCAAGAAACTCCACAAGCCAGGAACGACTAAACGGTTTGGCGTTAATGTCAATCCACCGTAGATTTGACATCGACACCGAGAAGGTAATTGAATTTTTGCTGCAAAGAAAGCTATAAAACTAAATAAAGTTAAGATTTCTCTAATGGTTTTCTAATAAATATATATGAACATGTAACACCATTTACTTTCTTTCGTTATTTTTATATTTCATGTTTTTCTACTGTTCCACCAAACCAAACCTCCCCAAAATTGTTTTCTAGCTACGGCTAGAAAAATGTAACAAATAGTGGACATAACACTTCTGTTGTTGACTCCGTGCGTCTATGTTGTTTCCTGCTTTCGGCTTTCGGCAGGATGGGCAACAAGTGTTGCCCATCTTTACACTTGGTTGCACCGCGCTGATGAGGCCAATAGCCAGAAACACGTGTCCGCGGTTTGCCCCCCTTTTTGAAGTGTTGTGTCCACAAATTGTTTAATTTTTGATTTATATCGTGCACACTCGAAAAATCTATATTTGTTTTATATATATATAATTCACATAATTGAGCCTCAGCAATGACAGATATGGATAATGAGTTCATTCAGATAATTTGGCTATAAAAAATTCATCCAAGCTATAGAAGGGATGATCAAAGAGTAAAACCTTCACACTACCTCTGAATCTATTATAATTCTTGATTTCCCTAATTCAAATTGCCGCTAGACAATAAGTATTTTTGATAATATTGTTAATTTACCTAATAAAGAATGTAACGCGTTACTTTATTAGCACACACACAACTACTGTATTTTTGTCTACCCTGTACCAATTGGAATCAACATGTGATACATTTTTGGAATCAGCTCAGCTAGAGTAACCCGAAAATTGAGACAAAATGGGGGTGTTTCATTTAAAAAAATGACGGTGACGTCATTACTCGAACGTAATTCACCCTTTATATTAGATTATTATTTTAAAACACGGTAAATTAACATCAAAAATCGACGTGTTTCAGGATTATTTCTTAAAATGACCTGTTTAACTAAAAATGAATTTGTTCCATACTTTACGGACACAGTGTATGAGAAAACATGCAGAAAACGATCACACAACAGTCCAGCGCTGCGCGATCTACATGAGGCACTCAACAGGGAAAGCGATTTAAAGACATTCATCTCCGGTTAGTTTTTGGGGGCCCCATGCAATAATTACATTCAAGTAAAGTCACGACTCAATGAAATATTAGATTAGAAAGTAAAAGCACCTAAAGGCTGGCTTTCCATCGCAGTCAGTCAGATGTCAATCTTGCTGAAGTGCCCATCAGTAAGTTGAGGACCGCTCCGGAGGAGTGGGGTGGATGGACAAGATGGGATGTTCTGCACACAGTAACCGTGTAGGGAAGATTCTATTTCAGGGTACTCAACCTGGGAGGGGGCATGGTCGGGACCATTTTCAGTTTGCACATCGCAGCAAGGTAAGTTACTCAGGCCGTTGCCACACATCCTTTGATGATGTCTTGCCGCAGTAGCAAACGAAACGTCAGGTATAAAAAAATGCAGACTATGGCTCATAAACCCGGGAACATCGGACGATTCGTTAGAGACCAGCCGTGAAAGCCTACACACCATAAAAATGCTACGAATTCATCAATTAACTCTCACAATGCAAGATAATGATTCGTGTAGATGCATATAAAAACATAAACATGGCTTGTAAGCAGTAGTTTCAATCATCTTAGGTGAAGAATACGTATCAGTCAGGTAGTAAATACCAATAGGACCATAACAAACTACTAGGAATCAATTAATTGACCCGCATTATGCAAGGTGATGACTGCATATAAAAAATTAATATCGTTTGTAAGAAAACTGACAGACGAAACATACTCCCCAAAGAATCAAGAAAAGGTAAATGATGTAATAAAGAAGAAAGTAATATAAATCATGAAATTATGAAACAACAAAAATTAATTGGCGCTCCGTGCGACTTCATTGATTCCAGTGGCGCATTTGCTTTTTCAGCTGCAGGAAAACCCGGAAAAACCTACAGCACCGCATCATCTATAGATCTTGATTTGCCAATGTCTTCTATTTCGTAAAACAAAATGTAGGGTGTCTCCAGAGGCTCCAATAAATTCAAGACATCGCCAGGACACTGAGTGACTAAGTAATAACAGAAAACCCTTACTGAAAAATTATTTCAAAATTTAATTACAAGTATAATTTTTCATCTCATGGTATCTACATACCTACTTAAAACTTGCAATTTCATACTGCAAACGAAGTTGAATTTGAAAATTGCAAAATCAATTTCCAAATGCGTTTTATTTCGTAGCAATTTTTAGCGGTTTAGCAAAGAACATTTTTATTCGCTTCTATCACTTTCTCAACATGTTCTGTTGATATTTTACTTTTCATATCTTTGTATTTTTTGAGTTAAAACTTCCTTTCTTTGGAAAAATAATTGACAAGTAGAAAGCCAAAATATGAAGAAGAAAATTTCAAGAGCAGATAGTTGTTGCTTCACAGATGAATCAAACACACCTTCAGGCTCTGGTGCAGCTGTTTTCACTTGCAGACCCTGCCTAGGGACCTATGTGACTGTATTTCAAGCGGAAATCTATGCTATTGAATTATGTGCGGAGAGATTGGTATAATCTAACCTCACACACAAGTCAAAAATTTACTCGGGCAGTCAAGCGGCGTAGGAAGCTCTTGGCTCTACCGAGCAACGTCTAAATTGGTAGCAAACTGTCAAAAACGACTCTCCTCAATAGAAAAAATTGTATCTGGTCTGGATTCCTGGCTTGGAAGGCAATGGGGCTGGTGACTTCCTTGCAAAGGAAGGTACTGCAAGTAGCTTCATCGGACCAGAACCTGTCATTGGCATTGCTTTGGGTTTTGCCAAACAAACATTGAACAAATGGATAGCAAGAATATTTGAAGTCTTCTAGCAAAATCTTTCAGGATTGGCTCACTTCAAGGCGTTCATTCACCCTTCGAAGTTTGAAACCAAACATTCGTTGGACTGCAGTAGGGATGAACTACGATGTCTAACAGGCCTCCTCACACTATCGTCTGAATCATCATATGCAGAGACTCGGACAGTGTGTGTTGCCTCTGTTTGGAAAATGTTTGGTAGGACTACACTTCTACCATCTGACCTGAAAGAATTCTCACCACATGAACTAATCGGCTTCGTCAAGAGGCTGGGTTTATTTGGTAGAGTTTGAATGAGGTATGCCGCAATAAACACTTACGGGTTGCGGTAAATTGTCGAATAGACACACACACTTTTGACCTAACCTAATCTTATCTAAACCAAAATAGATTTTTCCAAAAAAAAATAATCTCTCCTAAAAATATTCCGTTTGCAACATTACCTTCTTCTAATATAATGTCCTCTTCTTATGACGATACTTAACTTTTTGATAAGAGTATACAGGGTGTTGCTTAAACACATGCTAATATTTAAGGAGGTAATTCTTAGACCCATTTTAAGGAAAAAACGTCCTATGGACGTATGTCCTGAACGCCTTAACTTTTGAGATACAGGGTGTCAAAGTTTTCAAAAATAATTAGTTTTTTAATAATAACTGAGATAATTTTGTAGACATCTTTGGCATATTTGGTACATATGTTCCATGCCTCAAGGATTGAAAGATATAGGACCCATTGATTTATTGGTGAATAATGCCGGTTTAGCTATTTTAGGACCATTGACGAAAGTTGAAGAAGATGATGTAGACAGGTTCGTATAACTTTTGAGGCTTTCCTTTTATATGAGTTATGAGAGGGATTATTTTGAATATTCGGTTATGAGATCAGTACAATCATGACTTGAACATTTAATTCTGGCCAAGGTTCCTGAACTCCATTTTGTATAAGTAAATTAATGAAATAACTTCGTATTCGTCATGAATAATTTTCTAGGTATAGGCCTTTTCATCACATTTTTGTGCGCATGCGTCAATATCAGCCATCTTTTTCGTACTGTTTTAGTAAACAACCATATCAAAGGGCCCGCAACACATGTTTTAAAAATTATAATATAAATGAAAGTTTATTAATTGTGAAAAAGTGAAAAAAATTAATGTAGTAAGTCAAAATAATCAGAAAAAAATTTTATACTCCATTATAATTATGTTATCTGTATGAAAAGGAACAACAAAACGGTGTTGTTATGAAGTATGTAAAAGTGATACACGATACAAATCATTCAAAACCANGCCGCAACGCTTGTAAACTAAAAATACCCATCCTTGGAAAACTAATATTGGTCAATCTGAAATCCAATGAATATTTGAAATTAAATTTATGATAAATGTAACTTAACCTAACCTAACCTAACCTGGTATGGCAAATGTAACCTGGTAAATGTAACGCAGTTTTTCGAATATCCTTCGATTCTCAAAATGTCATCTTTGCAAAAATGACGTAGGTCTCGGGCCTTCGAAAATTCACTCCTTTGGATTGAAAATTATTGTGACCAACTGAGATTGTTTTTCCAAGAAATACTTTTGAATATTATTAAATCAGTCTGAAAAATTCAATTCGCAACTGAATTTCGGTCATGATCTAAGTCTGATTTAAAAAACAAAAGAATGGATTTGACAATAACTTATTTGATTAGTCCGATTGTCATATTGAAGTAGTGAAGATGGATAATAATGATTTATTCGAACTATGAAATCCTAAACTTGTTTTATATTCATGGTGAGTGCGCTAATTTCATATCAAGAACCCGTAGAAAATTTAATGAGTTGTATCCTAATTTGCCGGCAATAAATGAAAGAAAATTCAGAAGAATTGAACGAATTTACCCCAACTATGGAAAAGTTCTTGCCTCAGAAAACCGAGTGAGTCCGGTGACTGGTGATATGAATAATGAAATAAACATTTTAGGGTATTTTTTTGCTTATTCTCATGCATCAGTATGTAGTGCTGCGGTTGATTTGGGAATATCTCGAACTTCTATATTGAGAATTTTACAAAAACATAATATGATCAATTATAAATTTATCAGGCTGCAAGCTTTGCATAGGAATAATCCACTAAAACGGGTAGAATTTTGCGAAATGGCACTAACATGAACATACGAAGATCCAAACTTTTTGAAAAAAAATTACATGGGCTGATGAATCACAATCAGCTCCTGGAGCTCCTGGACATTACACACATGAAGTGAGTACGAAACTAACCGATATGTTCGAAGATCGGTGTATACGACGTTTGGGTCCTTAGATTTGGCCTCCTCGATCACCGGGTCCGACTCCCCTAAATGTTTTCCTCTGAGGAAAATCAAAGAACAGGTATATAGAATACCTATCAATGCAAAACAGGAAGTGAAAAATCGGGTTATTTGTGCTTTCCAGAAAATCGACCGGTCGGAAATCTGCAAAGCAACGACATGGCCAGCATTTCAAGCACCTGAGCTGTTGAATTTTTGTCATGTCAGTATCAGAAGTCAAATAATTGGGAAGCTAGTTTCACAATATCAGTTCTTGTTTTTAATAGTAGAATTATTTTTGTTATAAATTTAATTTTGAAAGGTGTTCATTCTTCCGTCAAAATAGTAATGTTTGAAATGAAATTTCATTCTCGTATTCCATTAAATTTGAACTAATATAAAGTTATTATTCATTATTCGATTTGTTCAATAATACATTTTTCACCGAAGTTTGTATTTGAAATGTTATATTTGTAAAGAAGCAAAAAAATCAGAGAATTCATATCACACACATTGGTTGCCTAAATTCGACAATTGAATAATATACATGGTATTCCATTTGAAAAAGAAATTAGTTATGGTCGTTTGTCAAAGATACAAATTGAGACTTATTTTTCCGACACTCTGTATGAAATAAGATTTGAGTTTTGTTCTGAAATAACAACCACCATACCTTATCTCAATGTTGCTAGAATTTGAGTTCGGTGTATCAGGTAATTCGTGCGATATTAAATATTTAAAATAATATGTTTTCGCCAAAAAACTTGGAAAAAATATAAAAAATTTATATTTTGAAAGCGGTGAGAGATAGGTATAGAACATGGTTCCACAAAAGTAATTTGGATCTTGATGCAGAATTCAAAAATGATATAATATATAGGGTGTTCAATTTGAAATTACTAAGTTGATATCTGTTACATGTAGATATGCAAAAATGCGGTGATGAAAATATTTTCAAACGATAGATCACTGTCATCTACATCGATATCCAAAATTTGAAACTCTCATCCTTTTTCGTTCTCTGGAAACGTCTAGACAATCGAATGTTTATCTTCGTGTTTGGCTTGTATGTGATGTTGATGTTCAGTGGTTTGAAGACGTTTGTTAGTTTTTTGGTTTGGTGTCCTACGTACGTAAATGATGTCCATCGTTTTGTTGTTTTGTCTGTTGGGGTGGCTTGATCCTTAATCCTTGTACTTCGATTCTGTTTTCTAGTTTATCTATTGTCTTTTGGGTGTATCCTTTTTCGTTCGCTATTTGGTATATGACTTTCCGTTCTTTGTTTCGGGCTTCATTGCTGAGTGGTATCCTTAACATTCTATTTATGAATGCGTTATAGGCAGCCATTTTGTGTGATGTTGGATGGTTTGAACTTGCGGGTATGGTGGAGCTTGTTTGTGTAGGTTTACTGTACATTGCCATTTGAAATTGTGTTTTGTTGTGATTATATCCTATGGTTATGTCCAGGTAGTTAAGTTTTGGGTTGTGTTCTTCCTCAATGCTGAAACATAGTTTTTGATTTATTTCGTTAATTTCTATTTTTATTTGATCTATTCTTATTCCATTGTTTTGTGATACGTACAGTCCATCGTCAACCTATCTGAACCATTCTCCTTTTTCATCATGTGTTTTTATTATTGTTAAGATTTTCTCATCTATGGTTTGCAGGTATATTTCGGATATAATGCTAGATAGTGGGAATCCAATCGCTAGTCCATCCGTTTGTTTATAAATTTTCCCTTCAGATTCGAAATAATTTTGATTAAGTACTGTATTTAGACTGTGTTCCATTTGGGTTATGTAGGTTTTGTCTATGTTTTGGCTACACAAAGCAGCATCTTCAAACTTGGAACATACGCTTTAAAGATTTTTAACTTTCTAATACAGTGATAGTTTTCAAACAACTACCGTCATCTCTAGGATAGGCGAATACTTCTGGGACCATCCTCGTAATGTAACTCTTGGAACTATTTTCTTCATCAGTGATATATGTAATATATAGCAATAGGCAATAATGACTAATGCAATGGTATATCTATTTATAATGAATAGATTGAGAAGACAAAATTTTTGTTATATTCGTATATTTCAGGTTATTCAGCATCAATGTTAAAGCTTTGATACATGTAACAAAAATTGTTGTCCAAAATCTCATATCAAGAAATGCACCTGGATCTATAGTTAATGTTTCTTCTCAAGCATCTATGGTCGGACTAAATGATCATACTGTGTATTGTGCCACCAAAGGTGCTGTTGATGCTTTCACAAGGGCCGCTGCTTTAGAATATGGCCCTAAAAATATTCGAGTGAATGCGGTTAACCCCACGGTAATCATGACGGATATGGGAAAACTGGGCTGGTCAGATCCTGCAGTTGCGAATCCTATGCTGGAAAAAATTCCGCTAAGAAGGTGAGTAATATACTGATATCAATTTGATTTTGAAATAACTTCACTAAGCCAGAAGTAAAGCTTTAATCATTTGTTGCAACTACTTCAGTAAATTGTGCTCACATTAAATATTAGGTAATATGTTTATGGTCCAACGAGAACGAAAAGATAATGTATATTCGAAAGTGCGTGATGTTTGAAAGTGCTTGATAATATTTCTGGGTAAATGTTACTAGTTTGCACTTCCAATGTCTGAAACAGGTGTTGGTTGAGATATTTTAAATATATGGAAGAACAAATAAAATGAAAAACATACTCGGGAATACTCATGCAAGCTCTCAGCAAGGCATTCGATAAAAATAAGTCATAACGTGATTATTAGAAACAGGCGGAGATCAGCATTGATCAGCATCTACTGGTGTGGATATTGTCATATACTATAGGAGGCCATCAAGTTGTGAATGTTAACGGTTACCTGTCAGAACCTTTTGTGGTTACATCAGGTATGCCGCAGAGTAGTCACTCCGGACTGTGAGGGATCGCAAAATGACCTGGACGAATTTGCAGAAATCTGTGGATCGGTTGGAATTAAAACACTCATCACTCAAATCGAATCTGCTATCTCTCACCTTCCTGAAATGATAGCAGAAAAAACTCGACAAGATATCGCTACTACTCTCAGGAGGACAAAACTTCCCAAGTCCAACATCACACCGGTCGAGAGACATTCTCTCAAAAGTCTCCACAACAACCCAGATCTGATCATTCTCCCAGCAGACAAAAGGCAACGCGACAGTTATTCTCAACACCTCTGACTATGTTGATAAAATGAGTACACTACTCGATTCAACCCACCGATAGGGATCCAACAACCTATCTTGAGATGAAAATCATCACCCTTGTCAACAACTCCAATCTCCCTACCGAAACTAAGAAAGCTCTCATCCCCCGAGATGATACAGTCACTGTATGTCCAGAACATACTTCCTCTTCCAAGATACTTTCTACAAACAAGTGAAGGGCGCCCCCATAGGTTATCCCCTTTCACCAGTCCTTGCAAACCTTTTCATGAAAGACTTCGAAACCAAGGGTGATGACAGGTTCGACCACAAACCCTCTTGCTGGTTCAGATACGTAGATGACGTTTTTGTCATATGGCCCCACGGCTCCGAAACTCTCCATAATTTCCTTTATCAACTCAACGACCTCCACCCAAATCTAAAATTCACAATGGAAATTGAAACCAAAAACTCCCTTCCATTCCTAAATGTCATCATCACAAAATCCAATAACTCCTTCACTCACGCGGTCTACAGGAAGCCAACACACACAAACAGATACCTCAACGCAAACTCCAAACATCATTCAGCACATCACAACATCATTCAGCACAAACTAACTCCGTCTCGAACTCTCTCTTGGATAATTCGCGAGGCCATCGAAACTGAAAAGCGACCTTCCTGCTTGAACACACGTTAATTTCCCAATGCTCACCCACTACCCAGACGACCCCAATAAACGATCACATATATTAACAGTTTTTTCTATGTGAGATTCAAAAATTATTTTGGAATCAATTATTACTCCTCAATCGCGTACTTCATTTACTGTTTTTATTGTATGCTTTTCTATTTGGTAATGAAAATCAATGGGATTTCTATTTCTGGTAAAAGTTATTCGAGGCATTCGTCTTGATTTAGTTATAGGCTACTATTGCCACAGATTTCTGCAAATTCCTCAAGATCATTTTGCAATCCCTAACAGTCCCGAGTGACTACTCTGTGGTATACCTGATGTAACCACAAAAGGTTCCGACTGGTAACCGTTAACGTTCACAACTTGATGACTTCCTATAGTATACGACAATATCCACACCAGTAGATGCTGATCAATGCTCATCTCCGCCTGTTTTTAATAATCACGTTATGAGTTATTTTTATCGAATGCCTTGCTGACAGCTTTCATGGGTATTCCGGAGTAGGTTTTTCATTTTATTTGTTCTTCCATAGATTTCAAATACCTATCTCAAAACCTGTTTCAGTCATTGGAAGTACGAACTAGTAACATTTACCCAGAAATATTATCAAGCACTTTCAACGTACATCTTTATTATCAAGCACTTTCAAACATACATGACATACAGTCATGAGAATATAAAAATTTGCGTAACATAGATAAAAATTAAAAAATTTAAGAATATAGGTAAAAAGAGAAAACTATATTATACGTATTTATACATTGAAAAACTCTATAGTGTTCAACTCTAAATGTCTAAATGTCCAAAGTTGATAACAAAAAATTCATTGAATAAAACTCGTGTTGAGACTTGCTAAACAATGATCTCTTTACTAGCCGATTCGATACACAAATACAGATAAAAACTCTTTTTTATGCAGAATTGTCAGATCCTTCAATAGTTATTGCAATGATATTGAAAAACTAAGACCTTTCGTTATATTTGAATACTATGTGAAATCTACTTTTATTTATAATTAGTTACCGGTTTTTCGTATATTTTTTGTTTAATTTTTTCTCGTATTCATCACTAGTGTAATCTACTTTCAAGAATAATAACAATAATGATATTAATAATAGCTTTCATATGTTTTTACTCACTATCTTTCATATGTAAAATGGGGATATTTTTGGATTTATTCTGTTTGTATCCCTAGTCGTGCAATAAATAAACAAATAAATAAACAATGGGAACCTCAGACTGAGATTGAATGTGGGATTGTGGGTCTTTTGCTGTATAATTAGTTTAGGTCTATCGATGAGCAGGTTCTTCTTGCAGCAGTCACATCTTTCTCAGACCCACTCTGCTCATATACTGAGTTAACAGCGGAGAGTATTCGTGCATGTAAATTGCCGGTTAACAATTTACAGCACAAATTGAAGCATGTTATCGGTCGGTAAATTTTTTGGAATAGTTTTGAGGATAAAAACGGTTCTCCCCTCAACAAGCCAAGCCGGATTATTCTTTTCCCATCCAGACAAAAATTATAAATTCTGACCTTGCGGCGATCAATTCTTGTTTGTCCAAAAGAGGTCTTCGAAATTCTTCGGTAATTATTAGTTCACAAAGTTCATTTTGTTCAGGTTTTAGAAACTCTCTACAGAAAGTTTGGAACAGCGCTAGGACTCGAATATCTAGGTTGGAATGCTCATAAATATCCTTCCAGAAGGATTTCACCCGATCAGAAACAGAAGGAATATTTACAATACGTGAATTAGACTCTTAAAATAAGCAAAAATGATTTTCGGGAAATTTGATATTCATAAGTACTTCTCGTTCGCATCACTAGTGACTTTTCATTGCTGATTGCTGGTCAGCAACACTTTCTGTAGCAAAGTGGCGGGCACGTTTCACGTCAGCTGTGAAAGGTCCGTCCATTGTTTGAATATTCATCATTCAAGATTTCAAACCAAAGAGGCGGCATTTCGTTTTTCGAGCTGGTAAAGTGCGTCCTCCTGATACAATCGGGAGGACCAATGACTGTTTCCACACCCTGAGATAGGTGATCATTAGGTCTGAGAATCGTTTACAGACGCAATGAGTCAAGCATGAGCCGGCATGACTTTGAGATTCAACAGTAGAGATTCAGCTAAGAACTCCACAATCAATTATTTTTTTTTAATACATGTACATAGTTGAACAAAGTTTCACCAAATCAAGTGAACAGTTTTTTTTCAACAGATGTGATTCTTCAAATTGTCATAACTTTTTTAATTATGAACCGATTGAAATAAGTTGACCTGACCACAACCAGTTCAAATACCGCATCCAAATTGGTAAAATTTTTGGATTAACGCGCACAAATGCACAGAAAAACAAATGAAACTTCTGAAAATCATTGTTTTATTGCACTTTTATTGCACTTTTATTATATGTATTGATTGATATTAAACTTTTTTTTGTAGGTTTGGTGAGGTGCATGAAGTAGTGGATGCAGTGGTTTATCTGCTGAGTGATAAAGCGGGAATGATAACTGGAACGTGTTTACCTATTGATGGAGGATATGTTTCTTCTTAACAATGTATAAATTATGAAAAATATATTGCTGAAATAAAAGAACATTTGGTAGTCATATTTGATTATTATTTCATTAGAATCGCCATATTGAATCATATATATAGGTACAAATATTGCTAAACTGCATAAAGTGGTACATTTTCAGAGGCATGTTTAGGTGTGTTCTCAAATTCGAGTGAATAATTCCGATGGATTGCTTTCCGTGCGTTCCACTAAGCGCTCACAATAATCACGCTCACGACCGCAGTTTTTTCCGATCCACTAGCTTGTGAGCGTTACTGTCGTAAACTCAAGTGGAATAGATTATGGAACGTTTTGGGCGTTCATGTAAACATTACAAATGGCTAGGTTGAAAAAATGAAGTAGAAGTTTTAGTAAGGTTACGTAAACCTCAACAATAAGTTTCAATAATTGTAAACTAACTTTATTTACATTTAAGAAGAAGTATGATTTATTGAACAAAATGAGTTTGAATGTACTCAAAATAACACTTCAACGAAATGAATGAGAACACTTTTGTCTAATCACCAATAGTTGATTTTATTTATACGACCGGTTTTGGGTTTGACCCAGTAATCAAGTTATATACTGCGTCTCAGTAGTTCTCCAGAAACTTGTTCATCTAGTCCAGATGAAGAGTGGAATACAACTTTACAAAATTATAGTCGGAAAACCGAAAACTTGGCCACGTATCATTGATTATGAGAATGTATTTCATCGTTATTCAGATGAGTAATTCAAAATTCATTTCAGGTACATGATTTTCTATCATGTATTGCACTGTAAATTTTGAAAATATCATGTCTAATTGCACATGTTGATTTATCTCTAAATTTAGGCTACTCTTGAATTTACTTGATTAACACACATAATCACTTGATTACTTATGAGATTGAATAATGGAATAAGGTATTAAATAGAAATGAATTACGAATGATAGGTATCATTTATGTCATATTTAAAAAATTGCGACGAAATATTCTTAACGTCCACCTCGACCCACCTCTTCAGATGGGTCGTTGTGAGCTTGCCATGAACGAAAGTAATGACGTTATGTGTGACGTTTTCGAGGCGACTACAACGACCGCGGTCATTATGTGGAACGGTTATAGGAACATTTTGATCGTTGTGAGCGCTTAGTGGAACGCACGGTTTGACCAACGTATTCAATGGGCCAATGCATGAACGGATTATTTGGTAGACTACTTTTCGAGACGAAATTTTCAAATGAGCTCATCCTAATGAAAAACAGATTTTATGTTTGCTAAAATTACAGTAAATTGATCGAAACAAAAACTATTTGCATATTTGAGATTATTATTTAAATGTTTTTTCCATGAGTTTGACGTTCGACTGAATAAAATCTAGATATTGATCTATCATCCTTCCATATAGATTCAAGATTCAACGAATCTAAAGTTATATGAATCACAAAAAACAAATGAAAGTGCCAATCAACTTTATTTCTATAAGATATCGTTCAAGTATGCTCATAAGATATCCGCAACGGGCATTTTATTGACATCATATATGGATCTTAAGTTGATATATTTCAGCGAACACCCACAACCTATTCTTCAAATATGAATTGGGCGTGATTGAAAATATCAGTGGATGTTACCTGAAAGGGTCTTAGTCATGAAATGACATTCAGTTTCAGGGTAACATAATTTGTCTTCATTCGAAAAGTTATGTAAAATTCATACAGTAAATTTGTCACAGTTTACAATACCGCGACAACATTAATAGTTATTTATGTATCAAGGGAATTAGGAGGGCCTTAATTACCGATGGCAAAGTTTGCGTCCCGAAGGCCTCTGGCCCGAGGGACAGCAATTGCCTGAGGTTATTAAGGCTCATTAATTCCCGTGGTACATAGATAATTTTATTTCTGACCGATTTCAATAAAATTTTGTTCATTTTTGAAACGGAAAAATGTACCAATTCATTACCTTCCCNCCCTCTTTATTGATAGCGTAACTATGACGATATAAGCTTATAATATCCCGGTCAGAAATAAAATTATTTTAATTACCTCGAGAATCCTCCGTGAATATATTGACTCCTGATACTCCGATCGATACGCATAATTCCTACGAATGTTTATCGAATAACAACAGAACACCCACGATTGAATTAGTGTTTGTCTATTGGTCGCTAGAAAATCTACGTTTATTCGATTCATTAATTCGTACCAAGTTTTTGGGAGTTCAACGTAAATTTTCACATTAAACAGTTATGTCACGTTACGTTGATCAGTGTGAAAAACTGTTACCCTGAAGGGAATTTGAATATCACCAAAGTTAAAGATCTAAATTAAATCTGGGTACGAAATAATGCTTTTTTATGGAAAATTTGGTGTCGAACCACTGCCATTTTATTTCAGTTAAACAAAAACAAAGCTCAATGCCCTGGTATAAATTATATATTTACTGGTATTCATTGATTTTGAGAGATCCCTCCTTCCATGAAAAGAGGTAATGTAGTTGTTTTTATATTTCTAATTTTTGGGTAATAAATACACGAATTGTTTCCCATTCTAATTTGTAGAGTTCTGGGTTCTGGTGTAAAATTCTAGCATTGGGTCATAGATTTTCCAAGCCATCTGAATCTAGAATTTTTATTATACAATCACTGAACCGTGGAAGCCAGAAGGACAGCAAATCCAGAATAAAAGATAGGGAAAAAGGCTATCAAAATTCAGCAAATAATCAATAGATCCCTCGATTATTTTAATGGTGATCATTTCACGAAAATTACCTGTTGGTTCCTCGAGATCTGGAAGTCCTCTGGCTTGGGCTGCTTGCGAGCCAGTGGCGCCCTCTTTTTTTTATAATAAAACCTACCCTCAAACTCTACGACTGAAGCCGTGCATCCTCTTTGTACGCGTGTACTTGAGCATCGACAGGTGAAGTGATTTGTTATATGTTTTTCTTATTTTTTTTTGCATCCGTTTGAGATACTTTTAGTTCGAACACTCGTTACATATTCAAAAAATACTTCACTACACAGTTTCACAAAAACACAACACGTATTTCGCTATACATCAGCTTCATCGGACGACTCTATACAGTGTATAGACACCTTAACCAGTGTAGACACCTTTTCTTTAACGGATGTTAGGAGTACAAACTGAATGAGAAAAAGTGTTTTTGTTCAATTTTCTATTCATAAAAAAGTAATTGTTTCAGAAATACATTTTCTTTCGTGAAATTCGATGTTTATATGAACGAATTGTTTTGAGAGAGCTATTTCTTCCATTTTGTGTTTGAAAAAACATCTTTTACATGATCTAAAAATCTTTGTAGTTAATTTATTTTGAAATGAATTGCTTTCTTCATTCCTTTGGTAGTTTTCTATATTTTTTTGAAATGAGATGGAGAAGTAGAAAACCCAAAACCTTTATTTCCCAAAAATAATTATTTGCTAAAAACATACCCCTTTCAATTTACAATATGGTTGCAGTAGGAGAGAGGCCTAGGATCACAGAAGTTGTGGCCAAATAGAGAAAATTGTGAAGAAGATGAGGTAATCTAGTCATTATTTCTTCTTTAAAGTAACAGTGCCGAGTGTTGTTCTGTTTGGTAATGAAAATTTTTTATTTTTAAGAAATCTTTAACCATCCTCTGTTTTTTTCATATTTTTGTAACTAATTTAGTATTTTTCATCATTCTTTCATAGGTTCAGGTAATATTCGAGATTTATTTTTTGCATTTTTCACCTGTAAACATGATTTTTTGAAAACAATTTTATTTTTACGAAATTAAAATCTGGTGTTTTTCTCCTTACAGAGTTAGACGAGAAACAGAAATATAGCAAAATGGTGAGTATTTTTTATTTCAATATTAACATTAGTTTTATCTTGGAGTGTTGTCATTTTACTGCTTGGTTAGGAGCAATTTCTTGAATGATATCAGAGAAGAACAGGCAAAACTTATTTTATAGCTAATTGATACACCCAAACTGCTATCTTTTACTTTTCATTTAAGAAAGATGCCACAACGTAAATCAATGGGAGCGTTCATACACAACACTTATATTTTATAGTGTGGGCGCTTTCATCGAAAGTAACAGTTATAAATGTCGTTTTTTTATATACTAGTATACCTAACCCGCGGATTTTCATAACCGCATTTTTTTCTATTACTTGGAAGCTGTCTTTTAAATCTCTGGAAAACACTTAACCTCATGGGTTCATTGGTTCAACAATCTTGTTCCCTCTACTAGGCTGTACAGGTCCCTTGCACATATATATCATATTTTTCTAGACATAAGTTGGAACCTCTGACGTAAAGTACATCTATTGAAAACACCACCAGGACATAAATGCTTTTTAGACGAGTGTTTCGCTAACCAATACACGAGGTATTTTAGCCATCAGTTGATGATGCTAATTTGGTTAGCAAAATACGTGTAACGAAAGCATTTTTGTTTTGGTGAAAAATAGTTTTCGCTAGAATAAATTGGGTGGTTCATAAATTGTGTCCTGTGATCTACTGCCTCACATTCACATAATATATGAGGATCTATGTCTGTCTCTACATATCTAGGAATTATTTTAAGGGTGTATGAAGGTTACCTGAAAATTGTATTGAAGTTGGAGACTATATTATAAATAGGTTACCTGAATAATTTAAAAATAATCCTAGATATTGTAACTATATTTTTCACTAATGCTATTGTTATAATGAAAAAATATACAATAACACAGTATGTAATCCGGGTTCGGTAGATTGGGTAGGTTATTGAAGGAAGGTGACTTTGTAAAGGTGATAGTAATGATCATATCATCGAAACCAGTTGCTCCTTAGACCTCTGTTGTGTGAATTTGAGGGGGTTAGAAAAGTCAGAATTCCAAGCAGTTGGATGCTCTCAATTTGCAACTATTTCATTTCCTTATATAAAATTGTAACATCTAGTTTTCCTACAAATCGAAACTTTATAAACACTATCAAGATAATAAAATTCTCAATTTTCAGAGGTTAATACCATTTATAATCTGCAATTCTACTTTATTTCAGCCCCGAGAACTCACAGAAATCAAAGAATTTCTCTTGACAGCCCGAAGGAAAGATGCCAAATGTAAGTATAATTTGAAATGGTTGTTTATGATTTAATAATAGTAATAACTTTATTGACCAACAGTTACAGGACAATATAAAATGAACATAAAAGCAAAACTAATTCTAATTACCTACTTCAAGTACACGTTAGCAATTCTAATAATCTTATGAAGGTTAGTGAAGAATAAATCACCATGGGCACAAAAGCTATTGAAATTTGTGCCCATAACATACATTGGGGAATTGAGCATAATGTTATTTCTTGCTCTGAGAGGTCCAAAAAGGGTTTCAGATCGTAAAGCTGGCCGTGGTAGATTGAAGTTAATTTGTTCAAGAATTTCAGGACAGTCAACTCCTCTCATTCACTAACTTCAATAAAAATATGAGCGACGCACATTTTCTGCGATGCTCTAAACTAATAAGTTCCAAAGTTCATATCTGACATCATTACTGATAATTCTCTCAGGGTAAGAACCATCTATTCTGAAAATTAGAAATTTACAAAACTTTCTTTGAACTCTTTCAATGGCTATGTTATGAATCTCATAGAATGGACTCCAGACGATCTTGCATATTCTATCTTCGAACGTAATTGAAACAGTCTCTGCCACCAGGTAAGTACTTCAAAATGTTTCATATACAACAAAAATCCAAAACTCTTTTCTAATGCATCAGGGCCATACATTGAAGTATGGCTAATTTAGGATTTGAAAATTAGTTGAGATTATTTCATAACATCAACTTCTAGGCCAAACATGTGTTTGAGATCTTATTATTTTCATTCAAATGGATATAGGTTTGAAAATGTTTCGATTCATGTGATATGAAATAAAATCAAATAAGTTATGTAAGCATATTATTTTGTTTGAAGTAATGCCTGCTTGAATTAATCAATTTTTCAGTACTGACTCAAAATATTATTTTCAAAAATTCTATAAAATTACACCGATATTTGGTGCACTCTTTATATCACTTCCATATGGGAGAGTTTGTTACATGTAGTTTTGATTGAATTAGAAGTCATGGCATATCTAATATTGCTTCTTTAGTCACTTTAATATCATTCCCTGAGTTATCATTAAAGTTATCACCTCTACTGAAATATATTTGTTGAATAATTGTTGAGAATTTGTCTAGAAAGAAAAATGATTGTTGCACCCATACTCTTTTTATAAGGGTTAGCTCTGCTATCTTTTTATCAAGTTAGCAAAGCTACACTAGTAACATTCTTGATAAAACTGATCTGCCATACCAATATTTGTTGAATAATTGTAGTAACTCATTGAATATCAACCAATACCAAAGACCTATTCATTTGGAATTTATTGCATTTTTCAAGTCATCTTGCTACATAATGCAAAGAGAATTTTGTTTTCAACAACAAAATGTTTAAATATTGTCAAAATACAAACTTTTTATTGGGGCTATACATTGATGAAAGTCTCTGTTGAAATGCTCATATTGAGATGTTAAAAAAAATCGGACCAATTTTAGGAATATTATTTAGGGTTAGAAATTTCATTCGATTAAAATATTTCAAATGTATAATATATTTCTGTTTGGTGTATTCAAATCTACAGTATTTAATTTCAATTTGGGGTGCAGAAAATTTAGCAATAATAAAGCCTCTCAAGAGACTGGAAAATAAAATAACAAAATGTATATTCAAATTACCATATCTTGAACCTACGTCAAATTTATATATACCATGTGATCTATTAGATATTCAGTCCATTTTTCAATTGAAAATTTGTTGTTTCATGCATTCTGTTAAAAAAAATCACAAACATTTGAATTTCAATCAACATTCAAATCGGAATTAAAAAAAGTTTCTGCCTTCTTCCTCTAATTAAAATTCTGATCTCCATATTACATTTTTTTTACCATATACTATTATTATTCTTGCAGCATAAGCTGCAACACATAAAATGCAATATTTTCAAAAAAAAATTGTTTTTAAGTATTTTTCCTGATATGAAATGAGTTATGACGAATATTGCTAACAAAACTACCAACATTTGAGTATTAAGACATCAACAATTTGACTGCTCTAACCTGATATCAAGCAGAGCTAAAAGAGTTGGGCATGACAATTATTTCACTTTCACATTTTATTGAATTTACTGCAAGAGGCCTTGCTAACTTTATAATTCTTGACTATTCTTCATTTGTTTAAAGTTTTATTTTTTTTTTTTCTTTTCAGGCCTACAGGTGAAAGAAGTCAAGTGAAGAACATGGAATTATAATATTCTGACTTCTAATAAAATGTTAGGTTAATAATAGTTTTTTTTTTTGTAGTTTAAGACACCTTCTATAAATTATCCTGAAAACCTTCTTTGTGGAGAGATTGTTGAAAAAAACATTTTTGCCTCTCAACTAAATTGAAGAAAAATTGAATATTAAAGGAAATGTGTGGATCATCTTCTACAGATACAAATTGAAGAAAAATTATCTTAAACAACTCCTTTCCCCTTCCATTGGATTATACAGAAATCACTTTCTCAATTTATATTGAGAAAGTGTTAGGAATCACACGTTCAAAGGTAAGACCTCGTTAGTCCTTAGCTCGCACAAGTTTCTCAACTTCTGAGAGTTGTCGTTCGTATGGGGGCGGCAGCTGATTAACGGAAAAACAGATTTTTTTAAACAGACAGATATATCAATCAGTTATATAGAAACTGAAACATTAACTGGACATGCCCGTACAACAATGAACCGAAAATTCTTTGTATTTTTTTTTTATAACCTTCCACAATTTGAAAAATTGAAGCTAAATTAATAGAGAATCTGCTGAAGTGTTATAAAGGGCAAACTGAAAAGTT